ATGGACTCCAGCTACCCAGCTTAGGCGTACTTCGAAATAAAAAATAACTTTGCTGAACTAATTTCAGTTAGGGTTAAGGTAAAGTTTTCTTCTAGCTATTTTACTGCTTTTAAACCCAAATAACTAAACAATTATGATCAAGCTTAAGAGAGTTGGCCTTGACTTTTAGTTGAATTTTGAAAGAATCCTTTTAAACTTGGAGTGCCTAGGAACTGCCAATGTATGAGCAAGATTAGGTACCAATTGAGATCTGAAATATTTAATCAGCTACCAACCTGTATTATGTCAATTTCCTCAGGCTGCTTTTGAAATGCCATAAATTATAGAAGAAAGCATCTGAGATTGTTAACCCTGATTTTACATTCATCGAACTTCTGAGCCTCCGGCTCCTAAAGTGAAGGCAGCCAGCACATGGGGGATGACGCATGTGACATGCTTGAGTCATCCCAGTAGACAGTGTGTCGATGCTCCATTACCTGCCAGATACATACGGAAAAAGGAACAGAACAGCCATTCAAAGAAGCACTGATTCCATGTTGTTAGAAAACACAATGGAAATTCAAGGTATATCCAGCTTTCCCACAGATAGGATTGAGGCAAAGGAAAAGATTGTGAAACTGGGCTGGCTGATCAGATTATAATCAATGTCTAGAAGAACTGGTTGAATTAACACATATATTTTTAAAACCTTCTAAACATGTATCATTCATTTAATGTGTGTCATTCAATTTCATATTTTTTAAGATTTATTTTATTTATTTGAAAAATAGAGTTACAGAGAGAGATAGAAATAGAGAGAGGTCTTCCATCCACTGGTTCATTCCTACAGATGGCTGCAATGGAGCTGCGCCGATCTGAAGCCAGGAGCCAGGGGCTTCTTCTGGGTCTCCCACGTGGGTGCAGGGGCCCAAGGACTTGGGCCATCTTCTACTGCTATCCCAAGCCATAATAGAGAACTGGATCAGAAGAGGAGCAGCCGGGACTAGAACCAGCACCCATATGGGATGCCAGTGCTTCAGGCCAGGGCATTAACCCGCTGCGCCACAGTGCCGGCCCCTCAATTTCATATTAATTACTTGCTACATTAAAAAACATTCTCTAAACATATTAGTGGCATTAAATAGGCAACTCTTCGATTAGCAACTGCATATTTGTCATTGAGATAAATACACAATAATTTATTTTGTTCTGTCAATAAGATGACTAATAAGAAGTTACAGTAAATTATACCCTTAAACCATGTGTAGTTTATTGTACAGTTAGTCTGTTAGACCTCAATAAAGCACTTTTAAAAATGCATTTTGGCATAGCAGATAACGCCGCCACCTGCAATGCTGGCATTCCATATATGCGCCAGTTCATGTCCTGGCTGCTCCACTTCCAGTCCAGCTCCCTGCTAATAGCCTGGAAGAAGCAGCAGAGGATGGCCCAAGTTTTTAGTCCCCTGCCACCTATGTGGGAGACCTGGATGAAGCCACAGAAAATAACAAGTAAGCTTAACAATGGTACAATATTAACTAGTCTAGCCGGCGCCACGGCTCACTAGGCTAATCCTCTGCCTAGCGGCGCCGACACACCAGATTCGAGTCCCGGTTGGGGCACCAGATTCTGTCCCGGTTGCCCTTCTTCCAGGCCAGCTCTCTGCTGTGGCCAGGGAGTGTAGTGGAGGATGGCCCAAGTGCTTGGGCCTTGCACCCCATGGGAGACCAGGACAAGCACCTGGCTCCTGCCTTTGGATCAGCGCGGTGTGCCGACCACAGCGCGCAGGCCGCGGTGGCCATTGGAGGGTGAACCAACGGCAAAAAGGAAGACCTTTCTCTCTGTCTCTCTCTCTCACTGTCCACTCTGCCTGTCAAAAAAAATAAAAATAAAAATGAATAAATAAATATTTTTTAAAAACGTCTGAGAGTAGACCAATAAGAATTTTCCTGACTTCTAAAGACTATTTACACAAGCAACACTACGATGTTCTCTAAGAGTTTGCTGAGGAAATCATTTTTTCAAGTCTTTACAAATAAATAGATATGTATAAACAAAATATGTCAACTAATAAGGCCAGCTCAGCTTGTTTTTTATTTTTTAAAGATTTTTTTTATTTATTTGAAATTCAGAGTTACACACAGAGAGAAGTAGAGGCAGAGAAACACAGAGAGAGAGAGAGAGAGAGAGAGAGAGAGAGAGAGAGATAGCTCTTCCATCCGCTGGGTCACTCCCCAGTTGGCCGCAACAGCTGGAGCTGTGCCGATTCGAAACCAGGAGAGGAGCCAGGAGCTTCCTCCGGGTGTCCCACGTGGGTGCAGGGGCCTAAGGCCTTGGGCCATTTTCTACTGCTTTCCCAGGCCATAGCAGAGAGCTGGATAGAAAGTGGAGCAGCTGGGACTAAATCGGCGCCCATATGGGATGCTGGCACTGCAGGTAGCGGCTTTACCCACTATACCACAGCTCAGCTTGTTTTATACTAAGTAAATATAAGAAAGCTTCTTTAACTTGGGAGTTACCTTTAAGGAGTCTCTAACACACATCAGATGTATTGACAAAGCATTATCAATCTCAATGAAATAAGTCATGAAGGATGCCTAATAGTATTGCTACTTTTCAATATCTACTGAATTTCCTGGCCAATGAAGTAAGACTAAAGTAAAAAAAAAAAGATGCTTATGCCTTAGAAAGGAACAGGAAGCAAAGAGAAAAGTATGATTACTTATAGACACTATGATTGTGATCATCTAACTAGAAAATCCAAGAGAATCAACAGAAAAGAAAGACTAACAGAACTATAAGAGAGTTGTGATATAGCAGGTTACCACCAGCACTGTTTTGAATCCTGGCTTCTCCACTTCCAATCCAACTCCCTGCTAATGTACCTGGGAAAGCAGGGAAAGATGGACAAGTGCTTGGGGCCCTGCACCCACATGGAAGAACCTAATGGAGCTCCAGGCTCCTGGCTTTGGCCTATCCCAGCTAGCCATTGCAGCCATTTGGGGAGTGAACCAGCAGATGGAAGATCCCTTTATCTCTGTTTCTTCTTAAATCTCTCTCTCTCTCTCTCTCTCTCTCTAACTCTGCCTTTCAAATTTAAATTTTTTTTTAATTTTTAAAGAATGAATTCAGCGTAGTTTAATATCTTTGCCTTCTTATGTACCAAAATAACTATTTTGAGAAGCACAGTTGGGAATGAGGAGGAAATATTATTTATGACAGCTGCAAAAACTGATATATAGAGGCTGATGTTGTAGTACAGTGGGTTAAGCTACCACCTGTGACAGCAGCATCCCTTATGGGCACTGCTTCAAATGCTGGGCTACTCCACTTCCAGTCCAGTTCCCTGCTAATGCACCTGGGGAAACAGCAGAAAATGGCCCAAGTGCTTGAGCCCCTGCACCCTCATTGGAGACCTGGATGAAGTTCTAGACTCCTAGCTTTGGTCTGGCACAGCCCCTGCCATTGCAGCTATTTGGGGAGTGAACCAGTGGATGGAGGCTCTCTCTCTCCTCCTCTCTCCTTCTCTCTCTAACTCTGTTTTTCAAGTGAACAACTTTAACAATTGATATACACAATATTCAATAATGAAAAATGTGCAAGACTGATTTGAAGAAAATTCATAAGCTATACTTAGGAGAGGATTTAAATGAACGGGTATGCCATGTGCTGATTGGAAATACCTAATGTTGCAAAAACTGGAGTTTAAATAGGAGCCCCCTGGAAACTCCTGGACAGAACAGTGTCAGAATCTTTTACTTCTCTGAAGCAACTGGGACTTTTTTTTTCTTTAATGAAGTAAGTTGCATCAGTATCTTTTTAAAAATAATAGTTACCTAGAGCATCTTTTGTTCAAAGCATCTTTGGCGATTGTGTTGGCTTGTCCTTGTATCTCTGTGCCCTGAAGGCACTGAGCCATTGTCAGTCTGTCTCCATTGAAATGCCACAGATGAGATGGACAAGTGATGCCTGGAGTCACTTGAGTTTCTGTCTCGGGAGCATTAAAGTAAGTTAGAGCTCTTTCTGCCCTTGAAGCTTTCTCCCATTGGTGCTAAGAAAGTGTACTGAGAGTTTGTCAAATGTCTCTGCCTCCCACTCTTAACAAGGAGCTGTGGACTGCTCAGCCGAGGCTGGGGTGGTAGACAGAACCTGCTGCTGTGAGCCTTGTGTTCACCGTGAATGAAAAACAGTAAAATCCTTTGATGGATCTCTCTTGCTGTCCTGAGGCCTTCATATCAGGATAATTAAAAGAAACCCACATGTCATTCCTCATAAATAAATCTATAAATTCAGTGTAGTCCTAATCAAACTCCCAACATGATATTTTTGGACCTACGCAAGCTGATTCCAAAATTCAACAGAATAAATAACAGACAAGAAGAATAGCTTCCCACCTAAAAAACAAACAAAAACCCTTTCAAGTCAATGAACAGAAATTGACCCACCCAATAAAAAAATGCAATTAAGTTAGACTAACTAAAACAATGCCCATGGCATATATCATTAGATCATATTCAATCACAAGTCTAATGTTGGACTAGAATAACAAATCTAGAACTTAATTCCAAAGTCCTATTTATGGTTCTTTAATGCAACTTTGAAATGGGCTTGCAATTAGCTCCATTAAGAATTTAATGTTAACATCAAACGTAAAAACAGGCCTAGCAGTATCTTGGTTCTTAACCTGCTTGTGTGCTCTCTCCATCATCACAGTCTTGTTATCCTCAAGAAAAGGACAGGATCTGTGTCCAGTGGCTTCACTTTCACTGAGGTGGACAACAGGTGCCATTGCTAAGGGCAGGTCTGGGCAGGCCACCATCTGTGCTCTCCTGTCTTGCCTTCTATTAAAAATTGAGCAAGTACCACATATCAGGCTGTGTTGTAAGTGGTTTGTGTGTATCTGGTTGTTCACTTCTTCAAGGTGATGCAATCATAAAGATCTGAATCTCATGGGTCAGACCTGCGGCCCTCTGTCCTGCCTCTTCCTCAGACTGATACGGGTGTATGCATGACCTTTTCAGCATGGCCTCCTCCTCCGTCTGTACCCCGGTCTCAGAGGCAGCCATAAGTGGTCACTGTCACCTATCACTGCTCCACTTTTGTGGGGAGCAATCCGGACTGGACTAAGTTACTGGAATTAAGACTTATTCTATGCATCTGCTCTCCTGTGGGGAGCAGCCCGGACTGGACTAAGTTACTGGAATTAAGACTTATTCTATGCATCTGCTCTCCCACAATATGGCGCTGGGAGAGAAGTAAACAGCTTCCGCACAGCTGCCTCCAGTTCAACCAATTAACTGTAGGACTTGCTCCTGATTGGAGAGCAGCGTACTCGGCGTGTGGGCAGCCGAGTTGGGATTGGCGGAGGAGGACTATAAAGGAGGAGAGAGACGGCATGCACCAGGAACATCTATGGGGAACATCTAAGGGAACCCGTGCAGCCCCCAGAGAGCCGGCCGGCGGTGTGCCGCTCCCCTGCGGAAGTGGGGAATGCGGCCAGGGGGAACTGCCCTTCCACGGAGGTGGAAGGGATAGTAGCCAACCCGGGAAGAACCAGCAGCAAACCCGGGGAGGGCCGAGCAGACGAAAGAACAGCGCAGGGTCCTGTGTCGTTCCTCCACGAAGAGGGGGAGCGACATAATGGTGCCGTGACTCGGATATGAAGCCTAGGCAGGACTCTGTGTCGTTCCTCCACGAAGAGGGGGAGCGACACACTTTGGTTCAGTAAAACGGGAATCTGGAGACGAGACAGGAAAAGCACTATTGCAAGATACAACATCAGCATCTTGGATGTCCCTGTCTGTCTGCTTTATATTCGGTGAGCACCTAGGGGCAGAACCCTCCAGTCACCATTTTATTCCTGAAATTTTTCACAGTATTTGGCAGATGGGAGCCATCAAGTCAGTGTTTATCAGTGACTCTAATTACCAGATTTTACCAGAATGAGCTAGAATGACCTGGATATAATCACAGGGTTTATTCTCCATGAGCCACACAGCTGCATCCCTGGGCTTATGTCTTCATAACTTTGCTTTCCCCACCCACTTTGACTTTCCCGGTTGCAGCCTATGGGATCTGAGCACTTGGAGATGCGGAAGCGACAGTTGTCAGCTGCCCAGGGGACACCAGCCTCCATCCCCAGCCAGCCTGGAGCGGGAAGTCGAGGGTCCAATGCTTGCTGCTTCTGCTGGTGCTGCTGCTGTAGCTGCTCGTGGTAAGGTCTGGGGCTGTTTTATTAATATGCTCCTCATGAGGAAACAGGTGCCAGGTAGGGCTTAATTTCATGCTTTTAAAGTAACTACTACATGGGGGGAGGGGCTTCAAAAAGCACATGGAAAAGAGGAATTCAAAGGTAAGATTAATTTTGGTGCCAAAATAATAAAAAGAAATCCATGAATAATTTTTTCATAACATGCATTTTCCATGAAATTTTTGAAGACTGCTGTGCAGATTTCAATTTTTTTTGGCACCAAAATAAACTTACCTTAGAATTCCATTTTTCAAGAAGTTTTAAAAATATGCCTGTGTGCCTCACACTATGAAGTACACCAAAAAAAAATTAATAAATAAAATAAAATAAAATAAAACGGCCTGCCGTTTGACCTAACAATGAAGGTGCCAGTTAAAACAGCCTTGTCCCACATTGGAGCGCCTGGATTCGTTCCCCTGCTCTGGCTTCTGACTGCAGCTTCCTGCTAATGCAGACCGAGGGAGGCAGCAATGATGGCTCAGTCGACTGGGTCCCTGCAACCTATATGGGAGACTTGGATTGATTTCCCAGTTCCTAGCTTTGGCACCAACCCAGCTCTGGCTATCAGGCATTTGGGGGGTGAATGAGTAGATGGGCGCTCTCTCTGTCTCTCTCTCTCTCTCTCCTTCTCAAATAAATAAATACAGATTTTTTTTAAAAAATGTGTTTTACAAAATATACCAGAAATAAAATGAAAAGATAAAACATATTCAGAGAAGATAATTACAGTGCACTAAACAGAGAACTCACATTTAGGTTATTTAATGAATAAGAAAATAATGACCAAAAGAAATGTAAGTAAGTGAAAATGAATGGAAAAAATAAACCACTTGTGTTCCTATCAACAAGGATCAGAGAAATAAAAGCTAAAACCATAGCCTTCTAAATACTGTGTAAACTTTGGAAACATATACCCTCTCTTACACATCCAAAGGAGATTAGCATGAGAGATCACCGCAGCAGCAATCTGAGTGAAAGAAATGAAAATGACTCTAAAGTACATTAATAAGAGACTAGAAGAGCACACTGTAATTTAGTTGTACCATGCAATATCACACAACATTTAAATTGAATGTGCTGGAGAAAAACAAATTATAAAGCAATAGATTTTATACAATTTTTATGCAAAATTGAAAGATACATTATGAATGGTCTGTATGCATGTATACGTGTATGAGCATCAAAAAGTTAATGGAAAATGGAATTAAAAGATGTTTATTTTGGTGTAGAGAGTTCTGAAATCCATACATAGGTTTTTTTATAATACACATTTTTCCACAAACTTTTTTTAAAAGATTTATTTTTATTTATTTGAAACTCAGAGTTACACAGAGAGAGGAGAGGCAGAGAGAGAGAGAGAGAGAGAGAGAGAGAGGTCCTCCATCTGATGGTTCATTCCCCAATTGGCCGCAACGGCCAGAGCTGCGCCAATCCAAAGCCAGGAGCCAGGAGCCTCCTCCGGGTCTCCCACGTGGGTGCAGGGACCCGAGAACTTGGGCCATCTTCTGCTGCTTTCCCAGGCCGTAGCAGAGAGCTGGATAGGAAGTGGAGCAGCCGGTACTGGAACCAGTGCCCATATAGGATGCCAGAGCTTCAGGCGAGGGCGTTAACCCACTGTGCCACAGTGGCACAGTTTGTGCCAGCCCCGCCACAAACTTTTTGAAGACCCCTCATTTGTATGTATTCAATATGTTTTGCACCAAAATAAATGTCCTTTAGTTCCATTTCCCATGAAATTTCTGAAGTATGTATATAAATACATGTTAGCATCACTATGAATAATAACAATGAACAACAAATCAAGGATGGTGGTCATCTGTAGAGCAAAGAGACTGGGAAATGGAATGAGAAAAAAAATACAAGTAAATTTCAACCATTTTACTGTTTAATTCCCTTGACTTTTTTCTCAACATGGCCAAGATTTATCCATGTTAATATACATGCTAGAGTACATTTTTAAGAAAGGTAAATGGAGGTAGGTAGATAGATGGTTAAGATACCTGCATCACACGTGGGGGTGCCGGAGCTCTATTCCTGATTCCCGGCTCCAGCTCTTGACTTGAGCTTCCTGTCAGGGCAGGTGCCGGGAGGCAGCTGTGATGGCTGAAGTAGTTGCCATTGCCACTCACATGAGAGACCCGGATTGAATTCCCGGCTCCGAGCTGCAGTCAGCCAGTTCCAGCCATGGCAGGCCTTTGGGGAGTAAACGAGAGACAGCAGCTCTCTCTGTCCTGCTGCTGCTCAAATAAATAAATGGTTTTAAAAACAAATTTAAAAAGGTAAGTGACAATACATTTCTAAGGCTTTGTGATATCTTTCTCAAAGTTCTGCTTCCCAGCCTTTTGGTATTTAGTGTTATAAAGGAAGACCTGCAGATTCTTGTTTTCTTTGAAAATCAAGTTTTCTTTTCCTTCTAAAAGGTTGAAGAATTTTTTTCTCCTTTGTAACTCAAAATTTTACCAAAATATATCTAACCATAGTCTTACTTTACTATTTCTAAAACCTGGTGAGCAACTATCTTGGTTTCTATTAGCATTTTCTTGTTCTGTTTTAACACTAACAATAGACCCACATAAATGAAACTTGACAAAAATATGCTCTTCACTTTTTAAAGAATACTCTTTCTAAAAAATATTCCTACTTAAAATGAAATGGGGGAAAATGTCAAAGCTTAAATAAGTTTTTGCATTATTTAGTTCAGAGTATAGCTTCCAGTTCTCTTACAAACGCTGTGTCAAATTCATCATTTCTTTTTCTCTTTGCTTTTTCACACCCACTGTGCAATAATGTGTTATGCTTACAAAAGAAGCCTAGGAGGTTGGGCAGTAGGAGTGTTAATCCTCATGCAGAGAGAATACCACCCAGATGCCTCTCAAGTTTTCTTTTGTAGTTTTCTTATTTTAAGAAACCATTGTTTACTGAAACTTTTTAGCCTGGCATCATGAAAGCAACAAGTCAAAAGGGTTCCTGCATTTCTAATGATTTTTCATCTAAAGAAATACAAAACTAAAGACACACTCTTACTGCAAATTCATAAAGCAAATGCACTTGAAATTAGACTGAAGACCATTTTAAAATGGAATAAAGTGTTTTCAGGAAAGATATGACAAAAGGAATATTTAAAATAATATGATAGCCATAACAAAATAAAGCAAACTCAGATAAACAATCATAAATTACATTTTTAAATTAATAGAATGATAAAAGCATTCATGATAAAAATCAAGAATGAGGCAAGAATGTCCACAGTCTCTACAATTTAACATTATACTTTAGGTATCGGTAAATTCAGTTAGATGAAAGAAAACGGTTAGGCTCATAAGAATTGGAAAAGTAGAGGTGAAATTCTCTGTATTTGCAGATGATATGAGAGTATACTTGGAAACTCCAAGACAATTATTGCTGCAACCAATGAAAAAAATAAAACAATTCCACAAATAAGGTGGCTATAAAATTAACATAAAAAACAATAGCCTTCAGGACTTATACCTGAAAATGTACAGAACACTTACAGTCCATAATTTTTTAAAAATTTAAAACAGTCAAATGATCTGAACAGATATCTTGTCAAAGAAGAGGTCCAAATGGCCAACAAATTCATGAAAAGATGATAGATGTCATTAGCCATTAGCAAAATTCAAATCCAAACCACAGGAAGATACACTTCATTCATAGTTCACCAGCCAGAATCGAAACTACAAGAATAGCAATGTAGGCAAGGATGTGCAGAAATTGGATCCTCTAAATATGGAAATGTAAAATGGTGCACTTACTTTGGAAAACGGTCTTGGGAGTTCCACAAAATGTTAAAAATAGAGTTACCATATAGCTCACTAGTTCCACTTCTAGGAATCTTTCCAAAAGAAATGAAAATAGATGTCCACACAAATTTGCATATGAATGGACATAACAGCACAACAGCCAAAAAGTGGAAGTGACCCAAATGTCTCTTGACTAATAATAGATAAACAAAATGTGTAATACCCATAACATTGAATGTCATTCATCTATAAAAAGGAATGACATACTGATATGAGTACATATGAGTGAACTTGGAAAATAGTGAATAGTCAAAGAAACAAGCCACAAACAACCACATATTATGATTCTGAATAGAGAAATCTATAAAGACAGGAAGTAGATTAGTGTTTCCTTGGGGCTCGTTTAGTTAAGAGACATGGGTAATAAGGAATGACTGCTAAAAAGTACAAAGTTTCTTTGGGGGTGATGAAAACATTCTGGAATTAAATAGTGTTGATGGTTGCACAACCTTGTGAGTATACTAAAGCCATTGAATCATGCCATACTCTTTACCTGTGTAAAGGGTATGGCATATAGGCCGGCGCCGCGGCTCACTAGGCTACTCCTCCGCCTTGCGGCGCCGGCACACCGGGTTCTAGTCCCGGTCGGGGTGCCGGATTCTGTCCCGGTTGCCCCTCTTCCAGGCCAGCTCTCTGCTGTGGCCAGGGAGTGCAGTGGAGGATGGCCCAAGTACTTGGGCCCTACACCCCATGGGAGACAAGGAGAAGCACCTGGCTCCTGCCATCAGATCAGCGCGGTGCGCTGGCCGCAGCACGCCGGCCGCGGTAGCCATTGGAGGGTGAACCAATGGCAAAGGAAGACCTTTCTTTCTCTGTCTGTCTCTCTCTGTCCACTCTGCCTGTCAAAAAATAAAAATAAAAAAAATAAAAAAAGATTACTTTAAAAAAAAGGGTATGGCATATAAATGATGGCTTGATAAAGCTTTAATAAATAAATGGGCTTCATATGTACAAACAGTAACCAGTTAGAAGATGAGATTGAGTGAAATTTCACTTACAATAACAACAAAAATAATTGGAATAAATTTGCAAAGAAATATACAAATGTGTAGAAGCAATCAAACTCTCTTGAAAGAAACAGTGGTAGGGTTTTTTTTTATTTGTTTTTATTTGACAGATGAGTTAGACAGTGAGAGAGAGACAGAGAGAAAGGTCTTCCTTCTGTTGGTTCACTCCCCAAATGGCCGCAATGGCCAGAGCTGCGCTGATCTGAAGCCAGGAGCCAGGCACTTCTTCCTGGTCTCCCATGTGGGTGCAGGGACCCAAGGACTTGAGCCATTCTCCACTGCCTTCCTGGGCCACAGCAGAGAGCTGGACTGAAAGAGGAGCAACCAGGACTAGAAACCAGTGCCCATATGGGATGCCGGCACCGCAGGCGGAGGATCAACCAAGTGAGCCATGGCACCGGTCCCCAGTGGTAGGTTTTGGTTATGCACTGGCTTTTTCTGTACACATGCCTATAAATATATAACATCTCCATTTTGACGAGGCATTGTGTAATATTTTAAGGTGCAGAAAATTAAATGAAAACCCCAAAATATTCCTGTTTTTTACTATTTTCCCTTTTATTCAAATTTTATTTGAAAGGCAGAGTTACAGAGAAACAGAGACAAAGAGAGAGAAAGAGAGAAAGGTCTTCCATCCATTAGTTCACTCTCCAAATGGCCGCAATAACGAAAGTTGGACCAATACAAAGCAGGAGCCTGGAGTTTCTTCCGGGTCTCCCATCTTCCACTGCTTTCCCAGGCCATAGCAGCAAGCTGGATCAGAAGTGGAGCAGCTAGGACTCAAACCGACACCCATATGGGATGCCAGCACTGCAGGCAGCAGCTTTACTCACTACACCACAGTACCAGCCTCACTTGTTTACTATTTTCTAATGAACCTGTTTGTATGAAAAGAATTATTATTCTTTTGACTTTTTGATAATAGCCATTCTAACAGGTGTGACGTGGTATCTCATAGTGGTTCTCATTCGCATTTTTCTGATGCTTAATAAGGTTGAGTACCTTTTCATATACTTCTTGGGCATCTTTGTATCTTTGGAGAAATGTCTATTCAGGTCGTTAGCCCATTATTAAATTGAGTTACTTGTTTTTCTACTTGAGTTGTCTGAGTTCTTGAAATAAACGTGTGTTTTTGGGCAAAACAGTTTTGAAACCCATGTACAAGGAATCTTCCAAGAATTCATGAAAAATGTATACCATGAAAACACTGCAGGGATTTCAAAATCCAGGGTACTTTTTCTTCAAGAAAAAATTCCGTCAAGAAATTCCATCTGGGGATCTGAAGTTCTCTTTAAAGTGTTTTGTAAAACATCCTTACTTGACACAGACTGATCTCGATTCAACATGTGAATGTCTTTTTTTTTTTTCTTCCAGTCTCACAGTTCGAAACCAAGATCAGAGACTCACAGCAGCTTCCCGTGAATTCCGAGCGGCGGACCTTCCAGCCTGTGAGGAAAGGTGAACTCTCATGCTGTTCAGCTCACTAAGTCATCAGAAATGCTAACCTTCTTCTCTTTCTTTCTCTCTCACTGTAATTTGTAATTTTGTAGCATCAAATCCTACTGTGGCTTCTCATTTTCCCCCTGTAGAATTCCTTTTTCACTCATTGTATGATGGGGAAGAGAAATCAGTTCTATTATCCACCTAATCCCTTTGCTAATTGCAAATATAAATGGATGCTTCTGGACAAAACATATGATGTTACTCTGTTTTTATATACAAAATGTGCTTTTCAAAATTAAAGACCATAATGAAACATGCCTATTTGATTTTCAGGAAAGTTTAAGAAACCCATTTTTTGGGGTCAACACTGTGGCAGAATAGGTTGGGCCTCTGTGGTGCTGGCGTCCCATATGGGTGCTGCCAGTTGGATCCTGGCTGCTCCACTTCCTTTTTTTTTTTTTTTAAAGATTTTATTTATTTATTTAAGAGGTAGAGTTACGGACAGTGAAAGGGAGAGACAGAGAAAAAGGTCTGCCATCCACTGGTTCACTTCCCAGATGGCCGCAACGGCTGGAGCTGGGCTGATCCAAAGCCAGGGGCAAACAGCTTCTTCCAGGCCTCCCACATGAGTTCAGGGGCTCAAGGACTTGGGCCATCTTCATCTGCTTTCCTAGGCCATAAGCAGAGAGCTGGATCAGAAGTGGAGCAGCTGGGACATGAACCAGCACCCTTATGGGATATTGATGCCACAGGTGGAGGCTTAGGCTACTATGCCACAGCGCCGTCCCCTAGCTGCTCCACTTCTGATCAGCTCCCGGCTAATGGCCTGGGAAAAAGTGGAGTATGGTTCAAGTGCTTAGGCCCCTGCACCCATGTGAGGGACCTGGAGGACGTCCTGGCTCTTGGCTTCAGATCAGCCTAGTTCTGGCAATTGCAGTCATCTGGGGACTGAACCAGCAGATGAAAGACCACTCTCTGTCTTTCCCTCTCTCTGTAACTCTGCCTCTCAAATAAATTATCTTTAAAAAAAAGCTTGATGCTTATTTATTTATTTTCATCTATTTGAGAGGGAGAGAGAGAGAGATCTTCTATTTGCTGTTTCACTTCCCACATATCCACAACAGCCAGGGCTAGGCCAAGCCAGAGCCAGGAGCCTGGAACTCCATCCAGATTTCCCATGTGGGTGGCAGGAACCCAAGTACTTGGGTCATCACCTGCTGCCTCCCAAGGTGCATTAGCAGGAAACTGGATTGGAAACAGAGGTGCTAGAGCTCCAACTGGCACTCTGATATGAGTATCCTAAGTGGCAGCATAAACTTTTGTACCACATTGCTCACCCTAAGTTTTTTTAAAGTGGTAAATTTATACTAAATGGATAATGTATTTTTTAAGAACTAAGTATTTGGGGAGGAAAACAGAGAATTTACATAATACAATATTTTTAAATTGTCATTTTTCTTTCATATATTATCAATTAATTTAATTTAACTTAACGATTCTTATACCTATTCTTAGGATTATGCATTTATAATTGCAGGCATTAGCCAAATATCCTAAAGCCATTTCTCAAATAGGTTTTCTGTCAAATTGGTTATTCTTTAGAAGAAAATAACTTAGTGGTCCAAAACTTTACTTAAGTATTTTTTCATTCTTTATCTTATTTATCGTTGCCCAGATTTTTACAAATTCTGGGAGGCCTGTTGAAATCTCCCACAGAGCTAAGAGTTTGTTAAAAGCTTGTACATTGGCAACGTAGTGTGAGTGCTTCACCTGGGGTCAGCATGCCTTTGTGGCCATGCAGTCTACTAAGTGCCATCTTCCTCGGTTTCCTTATGTGTAAAGTGGGCTAGTCACAGTTAGCTGTGGCTCAGCCAATGAAAGGCTATTGAAGACTGAGTAAGACAAACAGTGTCCTAGGTCGGAGGCAAGAACTCAACACATGCTGGGCTTGACTGCTTCTCCATTACGTGCAGTGACTGTAAGTTGAGGAGCACCTGTGCTGGTAGCATCATTGCCGGAGGGAGAAGATTCCACCATCACTGAAAGAAGCTCAAGTGGTCCTGGGCCAGCAAATACCTCTAGGTCTCAAAAGAAGCAAACACCCATCCTCTCTGGAGGGAAGGCAACATCCTCAACTTTGACCCCAGGTTTCCCATAGATTGAGACCAACCAAATATGGGCTCTTGGTCTAAGAGATGACCAAACTGAAAGGAAGCCGCCCACCACAAATGAGAATCAGTAGAAATAACACTCAGATGTAGAGCCCAGAGGAATTCAGGTGTTAGAATTAACTATAAGAAAACATAGTGTTTAAAGAAATGAAAGCTAGATTCACAAAAATGAGTCAGAAGAATTCAACTATCAAAACTGGCCAAGAGGACTGTGTTCATAGTTTGCAAGGTGTCCCTTTGAGGAAATTGGGCAAACAGTACTTGAGATCCCTTGGTATTTTTTCCCTTAATTTTCTTAAAAATTTTTATTAAAATAAAATTCACATAACACAAAGCCATTTGAAGGTTTACAAGCTGGTGCTTTTTAGAATATTCACAATAGCATGCAACCACTTCCTTATTTCAGTATCTGTTCATTTCTACAAAAAGAAATCCCATAGTTGATAGCAGTCTTACAATGAAACATGAACCTATGATTATCTCAAAACTGAAAAGCTTAAGAAAAAATTATATGTGGTTTGCAAAAGTTAAACAATATATAAGTAAGGAAAGTAATCTAACTTCTAAGAGTTTAATACTCTTTTTAATGACCAGGAAGGAATATTGAAAAAAGAATAAAATAGAAGTCATAAAAATGAAAAATTATTGTTGCAGGGATTGGTATTTGGCCTAGTGGTGAAGACATATTTTACAATGCTTAACCCATGGGAGTAAATTGGGTTGAGTCCTGGCTTCAAGCCCAGATTCCCACTTCCTGCTATACTTGTACTGCTTCTGTGAAAACCTGCATCTAACCATTTGAAAATACATGTTTCTGAAGTATACACTAAACCTTTACAGTAAGTGACCAAGCATCACCTTATAAAGCATCTCAATAAATGTATGAAATAGAATATGCTTTCTATACACCCTGGGAGGCAGCAGGTGATGGCTCAAGTGTTGGGGATCCTGCCACCCATGTGAGAGACCTGTATTGAGTTCCAGGCTCTTATCTCTGGCCTAACCCACTCCCAGTTGTTGAGAGCATTTGGGGAGTGAAGCAGCAGGTGGAAGATCTCTCTTTTTGTGTCTCCCTGTCTGTTACTCTACCTTTCAAATAAATAAATCTTTTTTTTTAAAGGGAAGGGTCAATAGAGAAAAATATATAACCCTAAATGTTTCTAACAGACAAAAAGGAGGACCAGTCATTTCTGAACTAAATGTCCAAATTAAGAATATGCACAAAGAAAGTAGGAAGGAGGTAGAAATATATAAACACAGAAATTAATGAAATAAAAAACAGATACAATGGAAATGACCAAGGCAAAAGCTGATTCTTTAAAACAAATTTATAATAATTTATAGTAGGGCCTCCTTTGCTATGAGTGGCCAAAAAAAGAAATATAATGAAATAATATTAGGAATTAAAATGGAAATATAATAACTACCCAGCAGAAATTAGTAGGATGATAACACTGGGAACAGATTATGCCAATGAACATGGTGATTTAGACACTACACTTTGAGCGAATTCTTAAACAGGGAGAAATTAATAAAACTCATGCAAGAATAAATCAAAGGTCAAACTAGTTGTATGACTATCAAGCTGTATCAACAATGAATAACATTCGATTTCAGTTTGCCTGGACTTCCATAACAAAATACCAAAACCTGGGTAGCATACAACAGTTTATTATTTCACAGTTTCTGAGAACAGCAGTCCAAAAGCAACGGGTCAGTAGGGCCACACTTTCTCTATACTTTGACAACTCTAGGGGAGAATCCCTCCAGGCCTCTTCTAGCTTCTGGTAGTTGCCAGCAGCTCTTGGATTCTCTGGCCTGTAGACTTCACTCCAGTCACGTGGCTATCCTCTCTTTGTGTCTGCTTATTTTCCCTACAAGTGTCTGTATCTGTGTTCAAGTTTCCCTTTTTTATGAAAATACCAGTCATACTGGATGAAGTCTCACCCTAATGACCTCATCTGAAGAAAACAAAACAAAACAAAACAAACAAAAAAACAAGATTTATTTATTTATTTGAAAGTCAGAGAGAAGGAGAGGCAGAGAGAGAGAGGTCTTCCATCTGCTAGTTCACTCCCCAGCTGGCCATAATGGCCAGAGCTGCACTGATCCGAAGCCAGGAGCCAGGAGCTTCTTCTGAGTCTCCCATGTGCGTGCAGGGGCCCAAGGACTTGGGCTATCTTCTACTGCTTTCCCGGGCCTAGCAGAGAATTGGATCGGAAATGGAACATCTGGGACTCAAACTGGCGCCCCTATGGGATTCTGGCACTGCAGGCAGCGGCTTTACCCGCTACGCCACAGTGCTAGCCCCAGTGACCTCATCTTAATGTAGTTAAATCTACAAATGTCATGTCCTGAGGTACTAGGAGTTAGAATTTCAACATATGTTTTGGAGAGACACAGTTCAACCCACAGAATTTTTCTACAGAGGCTGGCATTGTGGCATAGCAGGTAAAGCTGCCTCCTGCTGTGCGGGCATCCCATATGGGCACTGGTTGGTGTCTCTGACTTTCAAAACAAATGAATAAATCTTTAAAAACAAAATCTTTCTATAGATTCAAAACTGGACCCAGATGGTTTTATAGGCAAATTTTACAAAAAATTTCTTTTTTTTTTAAAGATTGTATTTATTTATTTGAGAGGTAGAGTTAAAGACAGACAGAAAGGTCTTCTACCAGTGCTTCACTCCCCAAATGGCCACAACAGCCAGAGCTGGGCCAATCAGAAGCCAGGAGCTTCTTCCAGGTCTCCCATGCAGGTGCATGGGCCCACGTACTTAGGCCATCTTCTACTGCTTTCCCAGGCCATAGTAAAGTGCTGAACCAGAAAAGGAGCAGCTGGGATAGAACCAGTGCCCATATTGGATGCCAGCACCATAGGCAGAGGTTTTAGCCCATTACACCACAGCGCTGGCCCCATCTACAAAACACTTCAAGAGTAGATAATATGGGGCTGGCGATGTGGCACAGTGGGTTAACACCCTGGCCTGAAGTGCTGGCATCCCATATGGGTGCCAGTTCGAGTCCCAGCTGCTCCTCTTCAGATCCAGCTCTCTGCTATGGCCTGGGACAACAGTGGAAGATGGCCCAAGTCCTTGGGACCCTGCACCCACATGGGAGACCTTGAAGAAGCTCCTGGCTCCTGACTTCGGATCGGTGCAGCTCCGGCCATTGAGACTGTCTGGGAGTGAATCAACAGAAGGAAGACCTCTCTCTCTGTCTCTACCTCTCTCCATAACTCTGTCTTTCAAATAAGTAAATCTTAAAAAAAAAAAAAAAAAAAAAAAAGAGTAGATAATATGGGTATTCAGCTCCCATATAACTACTCAGAAATCTAAGAGGACAGTTTAACAGTGGAACTACAACTTGATGAGGATAGTTCAAGAATGTAAAGTTAGAGGTGAATCCTACTCACCCATGACCTAGGTGAATCCAACAACACTTAGAAACATAATGTTGGGTAAAGAATAACCAAGTCGCAAAAAGGACAACATACACCATTTTTATATAGTTAAAAAAAAAAAAACCTAAGGAGTACATCCCTCAGGACACATACATATGAAAACTATGGGGGGGGGGGGACAAAGGAAAGAGATATTAAGGATCATTATTAACTCAAAAAGGTTTAGCCCCCAGATCAAGTGTAATAGAGTTGGGGCAGGTCATGGGGCGACAGGTTGCATGGAGAAATAGCAGCTATGTCAGTGATGTCTTGGTTCTTAAGGTAAATTGGTACATTCACAAGTGTTCACTTTGTCACCCTTCATTATTTGCATTTATATTACAAACATTCATTCCTCTTTCTCAAATATTACATAAATTTTAAAAATGTGTTAAAAAGACACTGTTCCAGCCGGCGCCGCGGCTCACTAGGCTAATCCTCCGCCTTGCGGCACCGGCACACTGGGTTCTAGTCCCGGTTACCCCTCTTCCAGGCCAACTCTCTCTGTGGCCAGGGAGTGCAGTGGAGGATGGCCCAGGTGCTTGGGCCCTGCACCCCATGGGAGACCAGGATAAGCACCTGGCTCCTGCCATCGGAACAGCGCGGTGCGGCGGCCATTAGAGGGTGAACCAATGGCAAAAGGAAGACCTTTCTCTCTCTGTCTCTCTCTCACTGTCCACTCTGCCTGTCAGAAAAAAGAAAAAAAAAAAAAAAAAGAAAGACACTGTTCCATTGTTGTTCTCCATGTTGAGCATTGCTAAATCTGTCTGAGTTCTGTTGTAGGTGACTAGGGAGTTTGGGGTCTGATGGTTGGGATGTTTTTTTCTTTACTATTGTAATTTGAAATTATTGCCAGAATGTGTCCAGATGTAAGAAATATGTTCTTAGCAGTTATTCTAACAACTGGTTTGTAAGCATTTGGGCAGTCACCATGCAGCCAAGCTAAACAGTTTGAAGATGTGAACTTGTATGGTTTGGCCAAAAGTTTGAGGAAATGAGAATAGCTCTTTCCCTTCCCTTCCAAAAGGGTCAAGTTCACATATTTTTCATTATCAGAGAGGGAGGGGAAGGTAGATTTCTGGTGATGCAGCTCAGGTTCACTACCAATAATAGGTCTCTTGTGCCTCCTTTCTTTTGGTCCCCTTCAAGCCCGAGTCCTACGCTGGAGGAAGTCAATGCCTGGGCTCAGTCCTTCGACAACTTGATGGTCACCCCAGCAGGCAGAAACGCCTTCCGGGAGTTCCTCCGCACAGAATTCAGTGAGGAAAACATGCTTTTCTGGCTGGCCTGTGAAGAACTGAAAAAAGAAACGAATAAAAACATTATTGAAGAGAAAGCAAGGATAATATATGAAGACTACATTTCCATTTTGTCTCCTAAAGAGGTGTGTGCACATGCAAGGGTCTTCTCCCAGGAGCCACTAGTAACGTGAACCCCATCAGTGCCTGATTGTACCCACCCCTGTAGTCACAGCTACCTCAAACCCTGACAAAGACTCCACTCTCCTTTGTGGTTTTCAAACCCCTTTGACCAGTGTCTCAGAGATGAGCCCCAAGTGCCTCTGAAATCTGTGAAAAATGCATCTTTCTGGGAAAGTCTCCATATCTTTCATCAGATTTTCCAGAAGGGGGAGTTTATGCATTTTTCTAGTAACACTGTTTAGAAATATTACACCGGATATAGGCAGCCTCTTAAATCAAATGATCCATTATCCTAAGCAAAGTCTGTCTGCAGGTATCTTTATGTTAGAGTTACACAACCCTGATAGGACACTGATATGGCAATGGGTTCCTCAGGAGGTCCTTCACCTATCAGAGAAATCATTAGATGAGTGAAACTGGGCAAGTTTCCACCTCTCAGAGTTGTAGTTTCTTCAGATCTAAAGTCTTGGAGGTTGGTTGTTCTCAAAGTTGTAGGTTGAATTATAAAAACCCTTTGTTATTTCCTAGTATGTGTCAAAGAATGTAAGGCTAATTAAGCAGGGCCCCCTGTGTCAAGGGGCTCACTGAGAGGTGGGCACACTGGCAAGGCCCCTTGTTGGGACGGTTCAGCAGTTGCACAGGGCTGGTGGAGTGAGCTGTCCACAGTAAGGCAAGGTGAGAATGAGGAAGAAGGACTCGGTAAGGCTGTAGAGACACTGAGGACAACCAAAAGGAAATGAGCAGAAACACAGTGGGATGAGGACATCTCAAAGGGTGGGATTTAAGAGCCAAGGATAACAGTAGGAGACTGGGAGTGGAAATGCACCTGAAGTGGTAGGTGTTGACCAGCCTAGCAGGACTGGGCAGGCAGTAGGAGGAGCTTTAGAAAGAGAATGAGGCCTCTTTGTGCGAGACCCTTAGCTGTCGGGCTGGAAGAGCAACAAGTGTCTCTAGACAAGAAACACCAGAGACAATCCTGATGAGCATGTCTGTTTTTTAGAAATTAGGCACAGACTTCTATAGGGTAAGAGGGGAATAAAAAACCTGGGGTAGTAACAGCAATTCTATAGGGCAGAAGGGGCAATGTGCCAAAAAGATCCCTAACTAATCAACTTATAGGTCATGTCAGCCACGTAGGCCCCTGGGCTCCTTTGTGCAACCAGCCCATATCTGGAATGTGGGAGTTGCTTATCGGCTCCGTTTATCAATCCTAAAGGCACAGCCACAAAGCTTCCAACAGTAAGGGGGTTGGGGGAAATGGGCCTGGAGCTCCTGCTGCTGGCCAGCAGCCAGGATGTGGGATCCCTCCGAACCTCCCGCATGGGCAGGGCAGGCAGTCCCATGGGATCACCCATAAGGGAATGGTTCTAGAGCATGGAGAGATGTGGCTGCCATGCTGAGGTTTTCTGATTTGTGTCCTGGGATACCCTTGGACTTTAGCCTGGTAATACGAGGGTACTTTAAATGTTTGTGGGAAAAAAATGGAATTAAAAGATGTTTACTTAAATGTTTACTTTGAAATCCATGCATAAGTTTTTCAAAATGTGTTTTCCATGACTTTTTGAAGATTCCTTGTATCATCACAAATGCATTTTTGAAAAGTTTATTTATTTATTTATTTATTTGAAAGGTAGAGTTACAGAGAGGGAGAGGCAAAGATAAAAAAGAGAGAAAAGTCTTCCATCTGTTGGTTTACTCCCCAAATGGCCACAATGGCCAGGGCTGGGCTAAGTCAAAACCAGGAGCTAGGAGCTTCATCCAGGTCTCCCATGTGCAGGGGCCAAGCACTCTGGCCATCTTCCACTGCTTTCCCAAACACATTAAGAGGGAAGTGGATCAAAAATGGAGCAGCTGGGACTCAAACCTGCACCCACACGGGATGCGGGTGCTGTAGGTAGTGTCTTAACCCACCACGCCACAGTGCTGACCCCACATTTGCATGTTAAAAGATGAATATTTATTTAGTATAGAGTTGGTCTTCTGTATACAAAGTTAATTAAAAACGAATCTTAATGAAGAATGGGATAGGAGAGGGAGTAGGAGGTGGGACAGGAGTGGGTGTTGGAAAGAGGGCATGGCAGGGGAAGAACCACTTTATTCCTAAAGCTGTTCCTATGTATTCATTAAATAAAAGCTTTCTAAAAAGAAAAGATGAATATGGTGGCAGAATGGATTAGGAGAAGGCTAGAGGCAGAGGACAGTTAGTAACAGGTGACTCCTATGTGTCTGGTCTGGGTAGTCCAGGTGGTGGGGTATTTGGTTGAAACTGGGCAAACAGGAAGGGAAGCAAACATGGGTGAAGAGCAATAGGGCTCCATGTTGCTTACCAAGTTTGCCTTAATAGGAGACACTCAGCGGACGTTCCTGAATAATGAGTTCAGAAAGTTATATCCATGTGGGATTCATAAAAAGCAAGAGATTTTTGGTTCTTTAATTTATGACTTCCATATACTTTGTCATGATTTTCTTTTTCAAGACAAAAATTTTCATGTATATAGCCATTCTTTGGAATCCACAGGGAGTTGGTCCCAGGAGCCCAAGAAGATAGCAAAATCCACAGATGCTCAAGTTCCTTGTTTGGAATGGCAGTGTTTGGATATAATATACACACATCTTCCTATATACTCTAAGTCATCTCTAAATTACTTGCAATACCTAACACAAGTAAATGCCATGTAAAGGGTTGGTATACTATATTCTCTGGGGACTACTGACAAAAACGCCTGTACATGTTCAGTACAGGTCCTATTTAAAAAACATTTTTGATATTTTCAATCTGTGGATGTTGAACTTGTGAATACAGGAAGCAAACTCTACAACCAAAAAAAAAAAAAACTTAGCAAATTAATGAAGCAAAAAATGATAATATGATCTTTCCCCCCAAGTATAAGCATCCATTACTTGAAATTTAAAAAATTGAAAAACTTAAAGTACATAGATTTAGGAGTCAGATTAGCTTGCATTCTTATCCCATTTCTCACTTAGCTGCATAACTGCAGGTGTATTTCTGACCTGCTCTGTGCCGGTTTCCTTCTGTGTGCAGAGCGGACATCACACTTACCTTCAGATTTGGGAGGGCTGCGAGCAAGGATATGCATTAGTCTTTGGCAACAGGGCTCTTATAAGCCTTTGTTCATTGCAGAATACAGAGAGGCCCTAATGGGGCTTTGACCCAAGGAGCACTTGACTTGCAGGGACAGTCTTCACTGGGTTGTAGTAAAGAATGAGGTTCTGTTTGTGAACTGGGATGTTTTTTGTTTGCTGCTTGTCCAGTTCCCTAACGAGTGCAGGAACTCTCATCCTTTCAGCCAGCAATCAGTATTGAACAGTCCCAGGAACAGGTGCTCAGAAGCACTGGCCCTTATACTCGGGAAGCAGACAGTGAGGATCACCTGGTGGCAAGTGCTGCTGCCTTAGGAATAATCGCTCAGGGAGAACAGGGACACCTTTACCTCAGGGCTGTGGGGAATGACCTGAAGCATAAACAGATTTCATCAGGCAGGATACAGGGGAAGAGAAGGTAATTCCAACTCTTCTTTAAGTCCCAAGTGGCTCAGAATGGCTCTTGAGCGAAACAGTGCAGTGGAGCTGGGGAATTGGTGGAAGCAGTTCATCTAAGGCCTCAGAAGCTCATCCTTTGGCATAATAAGCTTTGGACTGGGATCTGAGCACACTGAGGAGGCAGTACAAGGGCTGGAGCTGGAGTGTCAGGATGGTGTTTACCTTTAGAGCCCCTAGCTGAGCCATGGAGCATGGGGAACAGGTAGGTAGGAGGGCACTGCCAAGACCCAACAGGAAATTTCAAATGACCGCCACAGGGTCATGGCAGAGAGAAGAGAAGAGATGCACAGATTTGAGAGTGCTGAGGTAGGGTCATTGGGACTTGACTCAATAGAGAGCCACAGGGAAAAGGAAGGATACAGACGAACTGGGTGGGGCCAGAATGTTTCATTCCTTCATAAGCTGGACAGGAGATCTGGAGGTGTCAGGAGTCAGCTTCAGATGTGTCAGGTTTGAGGTACACCTGTGAGTAGGCCAGGCATGCCTTCTGGAAGGAAGGTGGCTATATGTAGGGTACTTCAGAAATGCAATTAAAAGATAAGTTTATTTGGTGCAAAAATGTTGAAGCCCTTGTGTATGAGGTGCCTTCAAAATTCACAGAAAATGCAATTATGAAAAAAATATAATTTCTAATTTTTCCACCAAAAATAAATATCTTTTAATCCTGTTTTAAATTAAATATATTTTAATTCTTTTTTCCTACAAACTTTTTTTTCAAAGATTTAATTATTCATTTGAAAGGCAGAGTTACACAGAGAAGGAGAGGCAGAGAGAGAAAGATCTTCCATCTGCTGGTTCACTCCCTAGGTGGCTGCAATGGCCAGAGCTGCACCCATCCAGAGCCAGGAGCCAGGAGCTTTCAGGTCTCCCACACGGGTGCAGGGGCTGAAGGACTTAGGCCATCTTCTGCTGCTTTCCCAGGCCATCGCAGAGAGCTGGATCAGAACTGGAGCACCCAGGACTCAAACCGGCACCCATATGGGATGCTGGCACTACAGGCAGTGGCTTTGCATGCTATTCCACAGCACCGGCCCTTACAAACTTTTTTTTTTTTTTTAAAGATTTATTTATTTATTTGAAAGGTGGAATTACAGAGGCAGAGAGAGAGCCTGTGGGAGAGAGAGGTCTTCCATCTGCTGGTTCATCCCCTGAGATGACTGAAATAGCCAGAGGTGGGCCTATCCAAAGCCAGGAGCCAGGAGTTTGTTCCAGGTCTCCCACAGAGATGCAGGGGCTGAAGGACTTGGACCATCTTCCACTGCTTTCCCAGGCAATCAGTAGGGAGCTGGATTGGGAGTGGAGCAGCTTTGACCTGAACCAGCTGCTGGCACTGCAGGTGGTGGTTTTACCCACTACACCACAGCGCTGGCCCCCCACAAAGTTTTGGAAGTGCCCTTACATGCAGCTGGAAAGACCACTGAAGTCAAAATTTAAATGAACGGCTTAGCAATTTTGGTTTTAGCTTTTTATTTTTTTTAATTTTTTTTATTTTTTGACAGGCAGAGTGGATAGTGAGAGAGACAGAAAGGTCTTCCTTTACTGTTGGTTCACCCTCCAATGGCCGCTGCGGCCGGTGCACTGTACTGATCTGAAGCCAGGAGCCAGGTGCTTCTCCTGGTCTCCCATGCGGGTGCAGGGCCCAAGCACTTGGGCCACAGCAGAGAGCTGGACTGAAAGAGGAGCAACCGGGACAGAATCCAGCGCTCCGACCAGGACTAGAACCCAGTGTGCCAGCGCCGCAAGGTAGAGGATTAGCCTACTGAGCCGCGGTGCCGGCCTTTGGTTTTAGTTTTACATTATAGCACAATAATTTCATGGCAGTTGAGTTAGCAAGGCCAACTGGAGCAGAGATGGTCCAGCTAAGGTTCCTGTGCTCTGGCTGGGCAGAAGCCTGAGGCATCCAAGCCCTGGTCCTTGTGTTATTAGGAAATTAGCAAGAGGTAAATCTGGGCATGCCACCCTCTTTTCTTTAAAATAATGTTGTGGTTTCCTAAATCAGTGAGATCCCTGCCAGCATAACTTAGAACTTATCAGAACTACACATTCCCAAGCCCCTCCCCAACCCACTGAGTCAGACTGCGGGGACAGGCCCAGCCATCTGGTAAGCAAGCCTTCCAAGGGCTGCTGATGCCCCGGAAACCTAAGAATGCCTGTTGCTGATGCTTTTGGTTTCTCTTTCGACAATTTGGATTGTTTTGTTTGGGACCTTTAAAAAGCAGAACAAGCCACGGGAGTTTGAGATGGACTGACCAAGAGAAGAATCTAATACAGCTCTTATTTGTTTCTATTGGCAGGTCAGCTTAGACTCCCGAGTCAGAGAAGTCATCAACAGAAACATGGTGGAGCCATCCCAACACATATTCGATGATGCTCAACTCCAGATTTACACCCTAATGCACAGAGACTCATATCCCCGATTCATGAACTCTTCTCTCTATAAGGACTTGCTTCAGTCCTTAGCTGAGAAATCAATCGAAGCATAGGAGTTTTCAAATATATTTATTATTAATAAAATAATAAAAATAACTCACGGATTGCATCTAGCACAGGGAACTTAGCAGTAGGGCTATCTTCTGCTGGAGTAACACTGAGGCTGCTCTGGTAACAGATGCTTCCTTTGACAGCTCTATATTCACAACGTAAATTGCAGCCTCCTCTAGTGATATTTTTTGAAAAACTGGGATACGGCTGTTTTAGGAAGATAGCGTATTTGCATTTACAGTAACAGTAGTATGTTCTCAGTGGTGAGGGATACACTGGAAGACGCCCTACTGCCCGGAGCATGTACATCCACGGGAGCAAATAAGATCACTTTTGTTTTGCATGAGGTCAGTAATTACTCTCCCCTGAAAAGAACACACATTCAAGTGCTTCTCAGCTACCCACCCCTTCCTTCCATCAATTTTGGTTTGCATACTTCATTTACCAGTGCCATCACAGTACCTGAGTTCACATTTTATAAAAAATTTGACCACCCTTGTAAAATTGTTATCTCACCTATGTTACAGTATGTATAAGTATGTAGACACATTTATGTGTGTGTCAGTGTAAAGCGCTGTGCTCTTAGGTAAGTTAGTCTCAAATGTTTGGTAAGAGAACAGGGCTTAGAAAATCCTTTTATGGAAAAGAGTTACCATTATCTTATCAGAAGTTGTCAATCTGAAGAATGAATGTTAAACTTCACAATTTAGTCTCGTTCACAGTAAAACTTCAAAACAAGCACATTTCCATTTTACTATCAAAAATGGGCATTTTACTCTTAACAAAAATAAAGCACAAGAGTTTTATCTCAATCCTAGTTTTCCTATGTAAAAATTCAGGAACTATGAGATTAAACAAGTAGCAATACACACAACCTATCTTTTAGCTCCCAGACTGAGTCTGTCTTTAGATCTCCGTAATTTTATCATAGGTAAATGGAATAACTTCATAGCTTATGAGTGAAATGATGTGTAAGACCTGAAACCCCCTGAAGTAATCCATTGCCATAATACACTGGAAAGATGTGCACAGTCTGGAATGATGTGAGGTTAGAAATTAATTTGCAAGAAGCCTACACCATGCTTCACCCCTCATATGGGATAGCTCTCCTCTTGATCACCTCCTTCACCTGGTACTTCAATAGTCTGACTTCTTTTCCCTACTCTACTCAAGCTCCAACCCTAAAACCCTCTCCCTTTCTCAGCAAACCATTTTACCTTCTCCTTCCTTCACTATGGAAATTGTGCCCCTAATCACCCCTCAACTTCCCATACAACCTGTAAATACGTGTAGATTAGCATCTATGCTCACCTCCTTGAGTCCAGTTGCAGAAAATAATGTGTTCTTTCCCAGATATCTTTATCTTTTTTAAAAAAGATTTATTTATTTATTTGAAAGTCAGAGTTACACAGAGAGAGAAGGAGAGGCAGAGAGAGAGGTCTTCCATCTACTAATTCACTCCCCAATTGGCCACAATAGCCGGAGCTGTGCCAATTCGAAGCCAGGAGCCAGGAGCTTCTTCAGGGTCTCCCACAAGGGTGCAGGGACCCAAGAACTTGGGCCATCTTCTACTACTTTCCCAGGCCACAGCAGAGAGCTGGATTGGTAGTGGAGCAGCCAGATCTCAAACTGGCGCCATATGGGATGCTGGCACTGCAGGTGATGGCTTTACCTGCTATGCCACAGCACTGTCCCCCAGATATAAATCTCTTACATGAGCTTTCTATTCCATATCTTATAATTTTTAACTGAACCAAGAGGATATCATTGTTATTAAGTCATAAGCCCTAGTAGTTAACATTCCTCTAAGTCCTCTAATAGTTAACATTCAAGTGAGGCACACAGACATGTCAATAGCAACAGTGTAGTGCAGTAGGTACCAAGTGGGACAGACACAGTTATGGGAGCCCTGAAAGTTTATGGGAAGATTATGGTGTAGGTAATCACCAAAGCCAAAGTACACAAACACAGAACAAGAATGTGTATGTTGTGGGGGGTGCTGGAAACAGAAGGGAACATACCTATAATTGATCACAAATGAGTCCAGTCATGGACACACTGAGTGAGGTGACTGGAAGACCAAAGATGTCTGAAAACCAGCTAGAAGTAGAGGCCTGGGCAATCAAGATTCCAGGCTGCAGCACCGACTTGGGCTTTCCAGCACACAGACTACTGTCATCACCTGGAGAACTGAAGCCTGAAAAAGGAGCTTTCAGGATAACCCCCGTGTGGATGAAGAAGACATGAGAATCCCTATGGAGATTTACAAGGCTAGATGTAAAGGATGTGTGGGAATGTGGTAGTGTTTTCAAGGAGGCACAAGAGCGGTCACTAAGTAAGTTTCAACAGATTTAATATTAGAATCGTCCCATGTACCTTTTCTGGCCACAATGGAATTAAACTAAAAATCAGAAACAGAAGGTATTAAAACCAGTTGTGAGAGGTGAGGGTAAGAACCTTCAATAATGCGCTCTACCTCAGGACTCGTGAAGTCCCAGGCAGCCAGTTTTGCTTACTGAATCTAACACAACAAAACACACATTTATAAAAAATAGGCTTTGTAGATGAAGATAGTACTGCCCTACACAAGTCAAACAATGAAGTTTTTTTTTTTTGTTAGTAAACTTGAAGCCAAACCATTTCTTGCTTTCCTGATATGTCTACAAAACTGTTAATCTAGATAAAATACAGCAGATGCCAAATAGAGTTTTTCCTGAGTAATGCCAGCTTAACCCCCATAGGAGATGAAACTGTAGACTTAACATTATAATATACCTATTTGGATTAACTGTCCTGTAGGAAGATACTACAAAGGCAAATAAGTAATCAAATTATTTTTAAAAGGAGCTAAATTTAAATAGCCTGTGAATAGGAAGTCTGAATTTAAAAACAATGACCTACTTAAACACCAAATTTTAGTGGGGAGAGGATCAATTAACATTTGATCTCATAAACCGGTCTTAACTCAAAAAAGAAACAGGACTGCCATTTTAAGAGGGGGAAAGGATGGACATTTATGCAAGCCTGTGGTAACCACAAAAAATTACCTATGGAAAATGCATCGAATAAAAAGGATTCAAAACATGTCACTATTAAAAAAAATCAACAAAATACAAAAGAAAACAGTAAGACAGGAAAAGCCAAGGGTGCTCCAAGACAGGAAACAATGAACAAGATGGCAACAGAAAGTCATCCACTATTAATAATTACTTTAAATATAAGTGGATTAAACTTTCCAATCTAAAGACATAAAGTGGCAAAAAGAAACCTAAACTGTATGCTGTATATAAGAGACTCATTTTAGATTTTAGGACACACATAGGCTGAAAGTAAAAGAATGGAGAAATTATGCAAATAGAAGACATACTTTTATCAAACTTAAAGTAAAAAAATACCATGAGACAAAGCAAGGTACTATAATAAAAAAGGGGCCAATTTAAGTGGAACATGTAACAATTACATACGCAGCTGACATCAAAGCATTAAATATATAAAACATCAGTGATAGAACTGAAAGGAAAAAATAGGCAGCAATCCAATAACGGTAGGAGACATTAATTCTCCACTTTGGATAATGCGTAGAACATCCAAGCAGAAAATCAATATGGAAACAGAGGATGTGAACAACACTAGACCAAATGGACATTTACAGACCATTCCACCCAGCAGAACATACATTCTCAGTCACACACAAAACACACTTCAGGAGATGATGGTTAATGGGGATAAGGGTACAGGTGGATAGGATGAATAACATTTAAGTAGGATAATCATGGTTGGCAAAAATCAGTTGTGCAGAGCTAATAGAGAGGATTTTGAATCTTCCCAACACAAAGAAATGAATGTCCAAGGTGAGGGGCCAGCATTGTGGTATAGAGGGTAAAGCTGCCACCTGCAGTGTTGGCATCCCATACAGGCTCTGGTTCATGTCCCAGCTGCTTCCTTTCAATCCAGCTCCTTGCTAATGGCTGGGAAAAGCAACAGAAAATGGCCCAAGTGTTTGGGCCCCTGCCACCCACATAGGAGATCAGGAAGAAGCTCCTAGCTCCTGGATTCAGCCTGGCTCAGGCTTGGCCATTGCGGCCAGCTGGGGGAATGAACCAGCAGATGGATCTCTGTCTCTCCCTCTCTGTAACTCTTTCAAATAAATAAATTTAAAAAAAAATTAAAAGAATATTCACCAGAACTGACCACATGTGAAGTCACAAAACAAATCTTTTCAAATTTAAAAAGATTGAAATTGCACCTAGTATCTTTCCCTATCACAATAATAAGGAACAGAGGGAAAACTGGAAAATACATAAATATGTGGAAATTGACAGATTTTGAGCAATGAGTAAAAGAAGTCAAAAGGTGAACTAAAAATATATTAAGACAAACAAAAGCATAATATCCAGGTGGAATGTAGCAAATACAGTACCAGGGAAGTTTTTAAACATTTTGTTAAAAAGAAGAAACATCTCAATAAACCTAACTTTATACCTTTCAAGAAACTAGAAGAAATTAAGTTAGTTGAAAGGAAAATAAAAGATTAGATCAGAAATAAAATAGAAATCTGAAAACAAATTTAAAAAAAATCAGTGTTTGAAAAAGATGAAACTGACAAATTTCTAGCTAATAATAGAAAGATGAAAATATAAGTTGAGGGGCTGGTGCCATGACATAGTGGGTAAAGCTGCCACCTGCAGCGCTGGCATCCCATATGCACCAGTTGGCATTCCGGCTGCTCCACTTCCAATTCAGCTCCCTGCTTGGGCACCTGAACCCAGATGGGAGACAGAGAGGAAGCTCCTTGCTCCTGGCATCAGGTCTGCCCAGTTTCGGCCCTTGCAGCCATGTGGGGAGTGAACCAGTGGATGGAAGATCTTGCATGCGTGTGCTCTCACTGTAATTCTGCCTTTCAAATAAATAAATCTTTTAAAAATATATATTATTAGCAATGAATGGGGAGACAATTATACTGGATACCAAAGAAATATAGAAAGACTGTTAGGAACACTTATACACTGACAAATTAGACAACATGGTGAAAAATGGATAAATTCCTAGAAACAATCTACCAAGATGAAATCATGAGGAAACAGAAAATCTAAACAGACCAATAACAAGCAAGGAAATTCAATTAGTAATAAAAAGTCTCCCATCAAAGAACAGCCCAGGAGCAGATGCCTCACTGGTGAATTTTACTAAACATTTAAATAATAATTAACACAGCTCCTTTCAAATTCTTCCAAAATGGAGTGGACACTTCCAAACTTATTTTCTGAAGCCAGAATTACTCTGATTCCAAAGACAGAAAAAAGATGCCACAAGAAAAGTAAACTACTGGCCACTACCCAAGATTAACGTAAATGCAAAAAAAAAAAAAAAAAAAAAAAAAAGAACAAAAAACTAACAAGTTGAATTCATTGGCACATTAAAAGGATCACTAACCAATAATCAAGTAGGATTTACCTCTGGGATACAATGAAGAGTAACATAAGAAAATCATCAGTGTGATACGCCACAAGATTGTAGGATAAAAATCACACAATAATTCCAGGAAGATGCAAAAGGGGCCAGCGCTGTGGCGTAGTAGGTTAAGCCTCTGCCTGAAGTGGCAGCATCCTATGGTTCTAGTCCTAGCTGCTCCTCTTCCAATCCAGCTCTCTGCTTGTGGCCTGGGAAAGCAGCAGAAGATGGCCCAAGTACTTGGGCCCCTGTACCCACATGGATTATCTGGAAGAAGCTCCTGGCTTTGGATCAGCCCCCCTCCAGCTGTTGTGGCCATCTGGGGAGTGAACCAGCAGATGGAAGATCTCTCTCTGTTTCT